CCCTACTTTGACCCACCATGGTGTGAATGAAGTGCGATACAGCATTGTTGATATCTCGGTCTGAATGACATGCCTGTTTCGCAGTTGAGGGATAATTAAAAAAAGAAACTATTGTCGCTTTTACTACCCTTTTGTGATCAAATTCCAAAAATGAAGTTGTGCGACATTTGTCTCAAAATTTGGCCTTTGAAATGAAGGTGAAAAATAGGAGCAGCCTCTCTTCAGTAATCCAAGAACTTTCAAGAGTTGTTTCAGTCTTGTAGAAATGGCTGGAATAGATTAAATTACCAATCAAATTTAGCAGAATTTTACATCTTTTACTTACCGCTTATTCGTGTTGGGCTTTGATTTGAAGGGTGTTACAGATGCACAAACCCTCAAGGAAGGCCGCCAATGCACTTCGTTTGCTTGAACTACACCCTATCGAGAATGAGGAGCTGAACGAACTGGAAAGCGTACGTCCTCGGAAGATTCTATTCTTATTGCCCATAAAAAGGCCAATTCGGCAGATATCTATATTTTAGGGATGCGAACACCACTGTCAATCCCCTTTAGACGCAACAATCAAATTAGGCACTTAACTCGTTGCTGATATCAAGTAAAGAAGTTTTAGTAATATATATTCAAAGTTGTGTTTTTAAGTATAAGGGCAAATTTTTACTTGAATTCTACAAATTCTGACATATGATAACACTTTCTCAATAAAATGTCACCACGAAAGTGGAAGAACATAGACTAAATTCTTAACAGTCAGTCCTTTAAATACGGCTTTTGATTTCTTCTAATGAGAAGTGCTAAAATTTTCATTTGTGACATATAATTCCTTTTTTTGCATGACTTGACCACCTCGCAGTCCTAGCGATCGGTCTCAATCCCTACAAAAAAGGGCTCATAATACTTTCCCATCAAACTGAAATATCCTTAAGTAGAGAGAGAAATTATAGGCTGTCAAAGTAAAAGATCTGCTTGACTGCCTACATTGGCGAGTCCAGTCTAGGGAAGGTGTTTAAAGCATTTGGCACCAGGATGAAGGGCAATAGCCTATCGTCTCGAAATTTTACGTTGTTTTTCAATTAGTTTCCTTATGAAAGTGAAGAGGGCGTTTGTCACATCCGAAAAGTTGTGCAAAGTCGACTTGGATTTGCGTAGCTTGCAAAAAATGTCTAGCATTAGACGTAACTGACTTTCTTTGCTTGCGCATATCTTAAAGAATGAACGGGGATTTTGGGGCATCAGGGGAGAGGAAATGGTCATTTCGCGGCAACCGAGGTAAAGCTGCAGGAGCAAAAGGCCATTCTGAAGTATCACCTGTTCAAAGATCTCACGGTAGAAATAAAAATCAAGAGATTACTGGTAAAGGAAAACCTTTTGATACTCTCTTCACCCCACCAGGTGCAGTTTCGCAACTTGTTCAATAGTTTATCCTCGGCCCTCGGCCCAGTTAGCCTGATTTGTTTTTCTTGACAAAACAAAAGAACGAAAGGTATCTTTGTTTATGTGTGACAATTTATCATGAATTCCTTCTGTTTTGTTCGTGAATATATAATTCCCTAGTCCTGTATCACCCTTGAAGTGTGTGCAATCAACGATAAGAAAAACATGACCTACTCTGTTTACCTGCAGGAAGGCTTCCTTAGAATTAAAAAATTTGGAATAACATTGAACACGATACTGTCAATTTATGGTGGTAAACTGATTAAAGTGTATCTAGGTGAGTAGGAATTAAAAGGAGAAAAAAGGAAGGAAGGCATGAAAGAAAGGGAAGTGGGACAGAGTTGGGTAGGCTGTATGCCTCTTGATACATACTTGTGCACGTTCAAGCAGAAACGAATGTTACCTACCTTGAGATTCTTGGCAGAACTTGCGTTTCTTTTTTAGGATCTCTAAAATAACCTTTTTAGTTTCCTTTTCTTGTTGATTCCTTCCCCAGCGTGAGATATTTGTGAGTTTCTCCTATCTTGAAGACGGCGGCAGCTATTTCCAGCAATCGAACTTTTGCTTCCCAACCGTCTATTCTACCCTTGCAGGTGATTGTTTGGGGCCAGGAAGAGGCGTTGTACATCCTTTTTGGAGAAGTATGAAGATAATGCAGAGGAGAAGCCAGTACCTCCTTTCCACTCTCAGGTGCTGTATGAGGTCTTGCCTTGCGCATTTCTGCAGCAAAATATGACAAGACAAAACTGATAAAGTTGCCAGTCCTGGAAATGCTGGCTCCTTCTCAAGAGGCAGATTTGTTCCCCATTGTTCAAA